GACCAGGTGTATCAATAAATGAAATAAGTGGAAATTTTTTTTGTTTTGATGAAGATATTTCCGTAGTTAAATAATTGAGAAGACCTAGACAATATTTTCAAAGAAAAATAGATATAAATCAAAAATTACTTACCAGGAATATTACCCAAAGGACGAAAATATGGAAATAAATGCATTGTTGCTGGACCCTATAAATGTAATTCATATATACATTAAAATCTTTCTCTAGTAGAAAATAATGTCTTTTATAATGGGACTGAAGTTTAGATAAAGTAACTCTGCGAGATGATGAAGAAAAAGTGTCGATTATGAAAGATTTTACTATATATAATATTTTCTTTGAAATTTACCATAAGTGATTCTCGTCGTTTTCCACTTGTAATGATGGATACACCTATGAATAGCGACAGAAGTATTATTATTATTAGTTATAATTTTATTCAAATCAATTAACCTTGAGTTTCAATAGCTACACCAGTTCGTTGAACATTATCTTCAATATACCAATTAATAAGTGATGATTTACCTAGTAATTTCGAAATGAAAATATTAACGTTTATTTACTAATCAAAATGAGATCAATTTACCAGCACTATGATTACCGATAAGTAATATACTTATCTTTTTATTAGGTGCCATAATAGATACATTAAGCCATTGAGCAATTGTAATCAGTCCTACAGGAGAATTTAAAATAGAAATTTTTATACAAAATAAAATAGAAATTACCTGTATCAGGATGATTATAAATTTGATCAATTTCATTGACAATTTGTTCATATTGAGGTGTAATCATACGTTGCATTGATTCTGGTAAAGTGCTATTACTTGTATTAGTATTCATCAATGTAGAAGTCATTTTAATTGTAATAATATTAATTAAAAATGTTAACGATACAACAAATGATAAACTGTATAAACAAAGTATAACTGAATCATTTTTAGTTCGAGCCATTGTTCATTTCACTGTTACTAGTGATAGATATCGGCCTTCATCATAAATTAACTTTACTTGGTGTTCCATAAAGAAAAAAAATACATAGATTCATTCTGAAACTGAAATGTACATTTTGTGAATCTTTGAAGATGCGTGATCACCTATGTACTCGTAAAGGTTAACAAATATGTCTATGTATGGATGTGAGTGAAGATGGTGTATAGCTCTTACATTTACACTCTAAAAATCGTATAGTATGATTGAATTAAATCTGATATAGTCTTCTGATTCATTATATAAGATTTTATAGTCAAAGTCTTTGATCTGGATGATCGCATGCATTTATTTTCTAAGATCCAGGTATTTTTTAGTATTTTGTGTCTTCTTTAGAGAAAATTCTACTACTTTTAATAACATTAATAATAGTAATAGAAATGTTTTTATTCTCAATTAACTTTTTTCAAAAAGATTAGTCACAATAGTTTATATTCTTCTAGAATTGCATATAATGATTAATATATTATCAAACTATGACTTGATATTTGACCGCAATTGTATTCAGAACATTTTAAAAGACACAACTGATCTGACTATACAAGTTTATATCTTATTTTACATCTCACATGATTTGTACTCGAACAAAAGATAATTAAGAAAAGATTGAAAGAAATAATGATAGGAAAAAGTCAATTTTTTTACAGATATGAAAGAATAGATACGAAAGATAATAATCAATTCGATTAACTTCATCTTGAAGATAATTTTTTTTCGTCTATATATATGTATTTGATTGTCTATCTGAACTGTAACAGTATATGGTTAATAAAACACTTATGAACACATATTCATTGTTTATCATAAAATTTTCCATAAAAAAGAATTAAACGTTAACCAAAGCTATTACATCCATATATCGCTTTCATTAATACAGGTTGCTGAGTTTATCTTGAAAAAACTCAAGTAAAGTGATCCTATACTTTTAAAAAAATAGATCTAGACGAGAAAACATTAGAACCATTTTTCGATAACATTACTATCGGATATAATACTGACTACTATATTACTATTCAATAATTACATGCAACAATATGAAAATTTCTTATTAATATTATAACTGAGTAAAATTCATATTATCAAGATCATATGTAACTCAATAATAAAAATCTTTCCAATAGATACACAGTCTTTTTTTTTTATTGTTGCCATACACACGCACACATTTACACTTATAGAAAAGAAAAATACAAGATGACCACATAAATTGTTTTTGTTTGTTTGTTTGCTATATTTTTTTTAAAGAGAAAAGAGAAAGACGCACGTTTACACAAAGAACACCAAAAAGAGACAAAAAAAAACTTCATCATTAGCAGGACACAGCTCAGAGCAGTAGTAGTAGAAAAAGAAAAAACAACAACAACAAAAGAAAACAAATAAGTACACTGTGCATTGTGGTGATGAATGTTGTCGTTAATGGTGGGACAATCTGCTCTTTGAACCACAATACTTCTTTTTTTAATATGGATTAGAGCGATTGTCTCTACTTGAACCATGACTTGCACCACGACCGCCACCGCGATATTCTCCACCGCCACCACCACCTCCTCCTCGGTAGTCACCACCTCGATCTCCACCTAGCAATTAAAGAATATATACTTAATTATATTAATACGAAATACAACAAAGAAATTCACCTCTGCCGCGATAGCCACCAAAATCACCTCCACCTCCACCTCCACCACCACCACCACCTCCTACATTAACAAAATAATAAGATTAAATATCATCGAAAACAATGATGTTTTTCTTTTTATGAATATTTACCTCGGCCACGGAATCCACCACGACCACGAAAGCCGCCGCCGCCACCTCGACCACCAAAGGCAGAAGCACGACGGGTAGCTAAAGAGATCTTAACAATGTTGGAAAGAACTTCTTTATCTATTTAAAAAAATTAAAATTAAAATCATATTTATAAAAACAATAAATAAATGAAAATATACCATTGTACCAATTGATGGCAGCTTGTGCAGCATCTTCATCTTCATAGGTAATTGTAGCTTCACCTTTACCTTCTCCAGTTGCTTTATCCTTATAGATCCAAATTTTTGGTGCATTTGTTTTTTTATCATTCTATTAAAAGAAAAAGACAAATTTCAATGTAATTTATATATAATAAAAGAATGATAAAAAATTACTTTGATGACTCCAATTTGACTGAATACATTTTTAAGTTCATCTGGAGTGACAGTGCGTGGTAAATTCTGGATGAAAATTGTATCACGTTGTGTTTCCATACCAGAGTCATTTCCGCCGAAGCTACTACCACCACCACCGCTGCTGCTGCTGTTGTGATCACTGCGACCGCGATTATAATCACTGCCGCCACCACTTCCTCTATCGTCGTTATTTCGATAATCACTTCGACCACGACTATATCCACCACCAGAACTGCCACCTCTATCATCATTATTTTGATAATCACTGCGACCACGTTTATATCCACCTCCATTATCATCATTACTACTTTGATGATCACCTCGGCCGCGATTGTAACCACCGTCGTTGCTACCTCCACTTCCATAACCTGCATAAGGAACAAAGTGTGTGCTGGTGCCATTCATCATCCTGTATGAATTGTCAATTTTTGGGGTTCAAAAACTGACATACAAGACATAAGAAAGCTTTCTTTTACCTCCGCCGCCACGTGAAGTAGAATCGGTATAATTTCTTTTTTCTCCACTACAATACAAAAACAAACAAGATAAAATAAAATAAAATAAAAAAACATATCGATAAGATTACCTGTTATTGTTATAATTACTTCGACTACCACTTTCACCTCCTCGTCCTGAATGATGATCACTATACCTAATCAGAAAATAATCGAAAATAATCAAACAAAGAAATAAAAACTTTTCATCATCATCAAATTCTCACCCTTCACCACCACCACCGGAATCACGGCCGTAGCTGGACATTTAATGGAAAGTATAATATGTAAATCTAAACTAGAAATTAAAGAAATAGAAGAAGAATTTTGATCGTACTGAAACGAAAAGAAAGAAGAAAAAAGTAAACAGCACTTTCCCAATACTGCTACACATACAATGGATATACGCAATTAGCGAATCGAAAAAGACAATTTCAAAAAAAATCTTATATAAACTACATAACTTATAATTATGGATTAAATAAACATATTTTTTATATATTCAAAAAATAACTTTATATTGAAAAAACCAAAAAATACTACCATTGATAACTGTCTCCATCTATCATCAAAATATTGAATAATATAATAATGTATGTCTTTTACAACAATATTTAACAAACTTATCAATATTTGATATATTTGTAATTAGATTGGTATTATGAATAAGCACATTATGACACTATTTTTTCCATTTTCTCTTATAAAATATATGGATAATATTAGTTACAGAAATTGTTCAATAATCTTAAGTTTTCATTGATGAATAATTAGATTTTATCAAATTACAGAACGTAAAAAATTTGTTTAAACAATTTTAGCACAGACAGTAACGTAAGAATTAAATAATTTATAAAATGTATTTAAAAACCACATTTAAAATAATGAAAACAAATCGATTGTCTCTCTTTACGTCAATAAATGATCAATAGAATACCAACATGATGAAATAAATGTTAAAAAAAAATAGTTCGATAAAAGCTACAAGTCTCATATTTTGTAGTTTGCTTTTATTGAATACGAAAACAGTAGAGTTCAAAACTATTTTCGAATTATCTTGGACAGTCCTCTAAAAATATTTCTTATTGATAGTAAAGCATCTGAATGACATCCATGAAATCATGCGCTTTCTGCGGCTACTTTTTTATAAAAAAAACGAAGTAAATATACAATAAATTATTTACAAAAAACGAATAAAATTTGTTCATTCTTCATTATCCATTGAAGGATGTGTTGTTCGTTCTGCGTCTAGCTCTTCTTCTCCATCATTGCCTGTGGTATGTTTAGCAAAAATAAGTCCATTACGAGTTAAACCATAAAATGTTGATGGTTTAAGTGATGAATTACGAAAACGCCAACCAAGATGACTACCACATAAACGACATTGAACAATGGTCCATTTATATCCAGGAAACCATGAATGTTCTGCTACTTCTTGACCAAGTAAACGAATATTTTTTGCTTGAAGTACCGTTAATGTTTCATGAATGTGTCCATGAGGATTAACATATGCTGCCATTAATCCTGATGCAGATATTGAAAATAGATCACGATCTTCACATATATCTGCTGCACATTGACGACAAGCAAATTTTTTATAACGTCTTAACCATGATAAAACAAAACGTACTAAAAATAAAATGAAATAAATATTTTTTTTTGAAAAGAATTCGTAATAAATAATTACGTCGTTGAATAGTTGTAGGAAATGATAAAATTTTTTGTACAGTTTGAATTTCAAATGGAATATTCATTAATAGCCAATCAGCAAAACGATCTGGTGTTACAGGTAATGAACCATCATCATTAGCTAACATTGTATTATTCAATTCAAATTTAACTAATGACATTATATACATATCATCATATCGACGTACAACCCAATATGGATATGGTGTTAATGACCATGGACATTTACGAGATCGTATACGAAATAGATGTTGATTAGAAAGTTTTATATGTACTAAACCTAATCGAACAAATAATGATTTATTGTATAAAAAAATTACGTTTATTTTTATTTCTATTACTTTTTGTATCATATGAGGTTATTGATGATGATGATGATGTTGTTCGTTTACGTTTAATTAAATTTACTAATGCTTGTCCACAACTTGTTGTTGTTGTTTGTTCATTATCATTTATATATTTTTGATTTAAACGTTTTTGTCGTTGTAAACAAAGATCATATTGTAATACAAAATTAATTGTATGAATAAAATTTTGACTTATTATTGGTAATGGTGGTCGTTTTAATTGTATATCAGGTAAAATTCTAACATAAGCACGTAATATACCATTTAAATCACGTTTCATTGTTGATGGATCATCAATAATAAAACGTTGTCGACCAATAATTTTTAATTGCAATGAATTATCATTTAATTCTTCATAATAAGAAACAATTTCAGCAGTTGTACCATATTTAGGATCATTATTTAAAAAAGATGAACATGCATCAATAACACCGAATAAACGTTGTTCTTGTTTAGCTTCTTTAATCATTCGTGCTGTACGTGTATTAAAAACTTGCCATGGAACAATTTGATTTGGTATTAATATCATATTTGCTAATTCAACAATATGAAGAAGACAACGACGATCATCGGATAACAAACAAACACCACTAAATTCTTGAAAATTTTCAACATTCATATAAGAATGTGTTGTAGGTAAGAGACGATCATACGTAATTGTACCATCTTGATTTTCGTCACCTGATGATGCTTAAAATAAATGGTGTTTATTTATGATTGTATTTAAAATTAATGGCAAAAGAAAAAAATATTCTTACCAACTTCTGCGTCTTCCCAATTTTCATCATCTTCATCATCATCGTCGTCGTCATCCATATCGTCTAAATGTTCTGCGCGATTATTTAAATCAAGTAATAAATGTCGTTGAATATGACGTATTTGTTCTATTTTTAAATATAAATATATGTATATAATCGAGAAACGTATCCGATGAGTCTATATACATACCTTGTAGACGATTGAGTTGTTCTTGTTCATGATTTAGATTATCTTCTAAAACATTCATTGCTTGATCATCATCATCATCCTCATCATCGTCGTCATCATCTTCTATATGTTGTGGTTCAATACCTTCCCAAGGATGAAATGCTAATGCAGGCATTTGCGGAAAACGTCTTCTATTTTCTTCATCTAAATCTGGTTGCTGCTCAACAGCATTCTCAAATCCTAATGGAGGATCATCATTATCTACAAATAAATTATTTAAATAAAGAAGAATTTTGATTTTCTTTTTTTTTCTACCTTGTGTTCCGTCAGGGGGAGGAGGAGGATCGTCTGTATTATTGTGTGAAGCCATGTATATGAAATCTAGAAAAAAAAGATTAAATGTAAACACAATTCGTTTTTTGGTTAACATTAACTTTTTCTTAAAAAGAAAAGCAACAAATCAATAGAAAACTGTCACACAAGAATACAAAAAAAATGGATTAACTAATTTGTTTCAAACGATCTTCACGTTTTTGTTTTAAATATTCATCTACTTCTTCTAATTCTTTTTGACGAGCTTGATAATCAGCTTCTGCTTTTAAAATAAAATCTTTATAATCTTTCATTGGATTTAACCAAACATGAGCAGTTTGTGAACCAATTACGAATGCTACAGTATTAGCTAAAGATATATAAAAAAGACGGCGTACTGGATTCATTATTTCTAAAAATATAAATTTATAAATCCTATAAAACAAATACACATTTTTATTTTCTTAACGTACCAAGTTTTCACACTGTTTGTAGATGTTGAAGGTGATTGAAAAGAAACTGTTTTTAAATAATCGTCTAAGTGATGTTTTTTAAGAACAAATTCTTGTGCTTGCTTACGTTTATAAACGTCGTCTATTAAAAGTAAAATCATATTTATTTATACAATTATCTCTTTTATTAACATACAGAAATTGATATTGTTAATACGTAGTTTACAAAGAACAATTTCAAAAAGAAAACCAGCTGCAAAAAAAACTGGTGGAAAACGCCAATTGCCAAGTCTTTTTCCTGGAATAGAATTCGCTACAACGTAAGCTATAAATCGCCAATCAGGCAATTTAGCACGAAGTTTTTTAAACATAGCATAGAGAAGAAAATCTTCGTAATAAAAAATAGAATTATTTTGCATCGAAGTTTTTCCAATGGTCTGATTAACACACCAATCGTGGAAAAAAACGAATTCAAAGAAAATATATCTAGCGGCATCTGCGTTTATGAATACGTATTATAAGATCTATTTTCTGTTTTAAATAAATTTCTTTCTCATTTATAATTAACGAATTAAATCTTGGAGGGAAATTCAACGTAGCCTATACTTCTTTTGTAAATAATTCTTAGTTTGAATAAGTTTGTTTTAGATGGATTCAACAATAGAACCATCACAATCACCACTTGTTGTCTTCGGACCTGATCATATCGATACAAGTCGAGCTGAAATATTAGTTCAACGTTTAAGTAATAACATAATTACTTTATTAATTTTATTCTAGTAATTATTATTTATTGTTAAAGATGAAAAAATCAAAGAAAAACGATTTAAACTTAAGAAAATAATTGGAATTAATGAAGGTATACTTTTACTAAAATCGTTTGGATCAAAAAAACCTTTTTTTCTTATGATAATAGAAAAGAAAAAACGTAATGAAATGATGAAAAATGAAAAAATACAATTAACAGCAAAATTGGCAAATATTGAACAAGAAAATTCTGTTCGTGAACAGCAACTTCTATCTGAACAAGCTCGAATTAAAGAACTTCAATTCAATATTCAAATGATTGATGATCATAATAGTATGTGGGAAGGGTGATACATGTATTTCTCACGCACACCCTCGAGATAGTTTATCTTAGATTTAAACGTTGTCATTCTATTCAATAGCGCATAAACTAATGATATCGAAAACTAAAAACTTAATTATCTTTTATTTCAGTTTCAATTAAACGTGATTCTACAAATGAAGAACAAAAATATGAACAAGAAAAATCAATACTTATTCAAAAATTTGAACGTACAAAACAACAATGGATAGAAATCTTTAAGCCACAGTTCGTAATATTATATTTTTTTGGAATTTCAAATTTCGAAATAAATTCTAGATATGAACAATCGAAAGTTTATCAATATTTAAAACAAGGTGATACAGCTTATAATGTATTAGCTGAACGAAAAGAAACATTACTTAATACAAAAAAATTAGCCTATAAAAATTATGTTACACGTCGTCAAGAATTTTGTGATAATAAAAAATTTCAATTATCAATTCAATCGATTGCTAAATATTTTATTTTACGACGTGATCAATTCAATAAAATCAAACAAATGAAAGAAAAATTAATTGAACTTGAAAATAAAGAAAAACAATTAATAGAAAGTAAAAATGATAAAATGAAAGCATGGGAAAATATTTATACACAACCAATGAAACGTGATTTAATGGATTTCTGTTTACAAACAAATATTGATCAAGCATTAACACTTTCATTTAATCAAATTCAACAAGACATGTGGTCACAACCAATGACACCATCAGTTTTAACACCACAAAATGAACAAATTGAATTCTTACCAGAAGAAGAAGAAAATAATAATAATAATAATAAATCATCGATATCGTAAATAAATTTCATTTATATTTCATATTCTATTACTTTTATTCTTAGATTTCATTCAACAACATCGACTAATCCTAATGAATCTGTATATCAAGTTGTTACACCATCAGTACCTCAATTCAATACATCTACTAGTACAGTTATTCCTAATAAAACAGAATTAAATCGTTCTTCAGTACTTCATCTTACAACAGCTATTGATGATGATGATGTTGAATTATTTTCAACAACTCGTCGAAAAATACCTATAATTCAAGTAAGAATATTTTATTGAATATTTAATATATCTACATAAGAAAAGTAAATAGTTGGAACAAATGAACATCAATGATGGTGCATTGAGTACTCAAGCATTTGTAGTATCAGCAACTGCAACAAGTCCAAGTATAGATGTCGATCGAGAAGTTTCATCCATATCTCAAAATGATCAAGCATCAACATCAATTGAATCACCTCCATTACGTAATCTTGTTACACCAATAGTTACTATTCAAACTCCTGAATCAATGTCAATTCCATCGATCGATACTGCTACTACCAATAAATTGCATTCAACAATAGCATTTTCACGAGTACAAAATAAGTCAGGAATATCAGCTATTCAACCTCAAGTGACGAGTAATGATGTTCAACAAATGCTATTAATATTTTCACCAGATCCATCATCATCATCAATGCATGAAGAACAAACACAACCAATGGAAGATGATTCAGTACAAACACAACAAGAGCAACAACAACAACAACAACGGCCTACATTTTCAATGGCTTCATCAATTGAATCAACTCCAAGTACTGAAAAGTAAGTTAAATTCATTATTAAATAAATAATGAAATTAATCTTTCTAGAGAATATACTAATTTTAATTATAATTTTGGTTTTGATAATAATGCAACAAATGATTCACCTACTGATAATAGAGATCTTCCATCACCAATTAATTTTGGTAATTGGGCTGCTAATCTTGGTTCACCAATAACAACAGGATCTAACGAACAATTTTCTGCTTTCTTACAACAAACAAATAGTAGTGATAATGGTGCTGATAATTCATTTTCATTTGCTTCATTTAATTATGCCAGTATGTTATATACATATATAAATTGAACAGCTTTTTATCTATTGATTTTTGTAGATCTAGGTGGTACTGATACATCTACGGATGGAGCATTTGGTTCGTTCTTCTTTGGGAATAATGAAAATTCAATGGCTAATGAACAAAAACATGATGGAATATAAAAATTTGAATTTGAATTTTACTTTTTATTTATTTTGTAATTAGATGAATTAACTTGCCAATTTTGCTATTAGAATATTTTATTGTAAAATTATACTATTTATTTTATTTTATAGTACAAAGTAAAAATAAAAATAGGCAATAGAGATTTGATTTTAATTTTGTACATATTAATTTCAAGATTAACAAAAAATTATAACATTTCATTTGAGAAGTCTATTGTGAAATAGTGAAGCTTCTAAACAACAGATAGATCACAAATTTCTTTTAATATATCGTCCCTTTAATACAAAATACAATATATTTCAAAAGCCACTTCCTAAAAGCTTTTTTAGTATATCTTTGCTATTTTATTTATTCAGAACGATCTTCTATATTACTGTACAAAAATCTTATGGAATTTTTTTCTTGAACTATTTCGAATATCTGTAATCGTTTTCTATAGATTTTCTTTCAAAGAAAACATTGAAAATTTTTTGAAATATACCTTCTATTATTGTAGAACTCGATGTGTTCTATCTAGCTAGACGAAAATATCAAAACAAAAAAAGTTCGATAGGTGAATATATACGGTTAATTTTTCTTTCTGTTTGAAAGAAACTATTTGCCTAACATATTGCGTCGTCTCATATATTGTCGAGATATAAGCAACAAAAGAATTTCCTAACGAATCATGTTTAAATCCTTTGTTTAATATAATATATATATATTAACTTATCTTGGCCTTGATTTCTTATTTCAGTCATTTATTCTAAACAATATCAGACGACAAGTATGTCTAAACAAGCTTTCGAAGAAGCAAATGAAGCATTTGTTGATGAAAAATATCAACAAGCATATGAAGTAAGTTTTATAAAAATAAAAAAAGAACGTTTATTTTCATTTATTTATAATTATTTTTCATCTTCTAGCTTTATACAAAAGCACTTAATGGTGATGATAAAACTGATAATCGATATACTTCTAAAATTTTTGCATCACGTGCTCAATGTTCATTAAAATTAAATAATTATTCTGGTAAATTAGGTTTTTTCCTATATTTATAATATTACTTTTCTATTCTTTAGATGCACTGAACGATAGTAATGATGCACTTCAATTAGATGAAATGAATATCAAAGCATATCTTCGCAAAGGTGTATCATTATATCATCAAAATATAAAAGAACAAGCTTTACAAGTATTTATTCGTGGTCTTGAATTCGATGGTAAATTAATCTTTATTCATTTAATTTAATAAATCTATTTCTATTCCCTTGTTTATTATTAAAGCTACAAATGAACAATTGAAAATATGGCATGATAAATGTGAAAAAGAATTATCAGGTATAATTATTTTGTTTCAATCATTCATTGATATATAATTTTATTTTTATAAAGAAAATAAATCTGTTAATGCTATTGTACCACAACAAATAAAAATCAAGTATATATTTTAGATTTTGTTTGTTTTCGTATAATAATAATGTGTATTGTTTTTTTTCAGGCATTCATTCTATCAAACAGATAGTACTGTAAATATTCAGATTCCAATAAAAGGTCTTAAAAAAGATCAAGTTCATATTGAATCAACTGATTCAACTGTTTGTATATTTTATGTTAAATATTAACTAATGTATCATCAATAATTTATTTTAGTTGAAAGTTAGCACAAAAATACCTGCTTCTGGTCATGATTATTTACTTGAAATTGAACTTGCTTATTCAATTGATTCATCTCGTACAAGCTTCAATGTTACGAATACAAATGTAAGAGAGAGATATAATATTCATTCTTAGTTTTCTATTATTTCTCTAAGAATAGATCGAGATAAAATTATACAAACGACAAGCTATACAATGGATGTCATTAGATGCTCAATCAACAAAAGTTAAAGCTCAACCACCTGGTATCATATCATATTTGCTTTTATATTTATATATATGATAAATATTTTTAGTTCCAATGAGTGGACCATTAGTTGAAAAAACACCAAGTTATCCATCATCAAGTCAACGTGCTAAGAATTGGGATAAAGTTGAAGCTGAAATAAAAAAAGATGAAAAAGAAAATAAAGATGATATGGGTGATGCCAATGCGTAAGTTAGATTTGTGTTTTATAATTATTTCTATTTTTTGTTTTTTGTGTTTCAGTATTTTTCAAAGACTTTATAAAGATAGTGATGAAAAGACACGTCGTGCAATGAATAAATCAATGGTAAAAATATATTCTTATATGATTGATTGATAGATAAATATGAATTTTTAGTATGAATCGGGTGGTACATGTTTAAATATGAATTGGGAAGAAGTATCAAAAGGTCGAGTTACTTGTGAACCACCAGATGTAAATTTAAATATTTGATCTTATTT